TTCTGAAGAAGGGTCTCGGCCGGAAACGTCAGCTTTCCTGCTCCTCTGATGCTGCTGGGCCTGCTGTGTTCATCCAGCTCTACATCTTGTTATCTGTCCTCTTTCAGGTTTGCTGGGCATTCCATTTAACTTACCGACCTGCTCCACTTATCTGTGACCAGGCTGACTGTGAGTAGTGGTGTGGCTCCCTGTAGCAGTGTACAGGAAAAAGAACTGCCCTCCTCTTCACCTCCCTATTTACCACCTTCGGATCTCTATCTGCAAGTTTGAAAGCTGATTCACCTTTCTGGGCAGTTTCCTCAAGGGTAATAGTGTGGGACCCCAGTGTCAGGGCCAATTCCTGGTTTGCAGCATCTGAAGTGGTGTGCAGCTGGGCTCTAAGATGATGCAAGCAGCATGATCACTGGAAGATTTTGGCATTGGCAAGCATTCTGGCGCAATTCTGAGAGAGGAGTGCTGAAAAGCCTGGTTGCATAATTAATGAGGTGGAGCATGGAAGATTGTGTGAGCACACTCAGTCCAGGCCATGGCAGACTAGGTAGTTTTCACTTGACAAGACACTTTAATTGAAACTGGGAAAGCTTCATTCATGGTATGCACTACTTTCTTTTGCACAAGATATAAAGTTTCAGTCTTCTGTTTTGCTATGTGCACACATATGCTTCTGGCTTTCTTGACTGAGTTGAATTTATGCCCAGAATTGAAGAGAGCATACTTCAAGAATGTTATCCCAAATCTTCTTCGATGCCTAATTAATTTGTATGATCTGCACAGAGGGGGCAGGAGATTATAAACTTCATATGATTCTATGGATGTACTGACAAAAGTACTTAAAATCCCCAAAACATCCTCATTTCAATGTACAGTCAATAAACAATTTTTAATGATGCTTTTCAAGGGAAAAAAGCAACAATGCAAAGGAGTTTATGGAAGGGTATTTTAGGTATTGTGCTATATACATGCTAATAACTTTTCTTTTTTTCCTTGTGCTGTCAAAGGATGAGGTACATATTTGTTAAACACAGTCAAATCTAACCTTATTATTGTTCAATATCTAAGTTATAGTAGAGTTCACTGGGTGCATGCAGGAATGAGAATCTTGTCTGATAAATTCCTTGTTCCTGGTCTGGGTACTGAATGAATTTTAAGACTGCTGACACAAATTGTCCATTTTATCTTTATGGAGAAAAGGATTTTTTGAAATTCTGTTTCAAGATCTCTCCCATTTGCATGGTGTTAACTTGACACCTGAAATTACCACTTCCTTTTCGTCCCAACTTTCCTTCCTTTTTCACTATGACAATTTGACTTAGCAGCTTACTGCCTGGTTTTATTTTGGTTAAATCTCCCCTGACTGTAAAAAGTTCGACAGGTTGAGTTTTTGACATTTCTTTGTGAGATATGCTCTTTCATTCCTTCTGCTCAAATAACGATCACAGATCTGTTTGATATTTCCCATTATTTTTAATGAAAGAACAGCACAACACTAACATTTTACTTCAGCACTAAACTGAATCATTGTGTAAGACTTTTCAGCTAATATAAAATTAAAGATGTGTGTCTGACAATTAATGCTTTTAAGTATTCAAAGCTAGCTGCCCACAAAGTGTGAATTATTAATTTTCTTTTTTACAGGGTCAACAGTCTGTGCTAGCAGTGTTTGAAATGACCTGTCCTGTACCTGAGGGTGCCGAATGGTACTTTGTATATGAAGGTTCAAGCCAGAATCATGTAACTGTGGCACAGAGACTTAATGCGAAAACACTGGAGTCAGTTGTTCCAGGTTAGCATGCAGAATTGGATACTTCATTCAATGTGATGAAAAATACGTGCTAATACTTTTAAAAAATATATTTGATTTGTATGCATATATAAATAGTGAAAATAGATTGTATTCCTTTGTATTCTGAAACTGATACTTCCTGGTTCTCTTTTATCAATCTTAGTGCATGACGTTCATTTAGGAAGTAATATGAGTGGGAATTTAGTCCTTCAGGGAACCGTAATTAAATTTGTAGGAAAATAACAACTTGTATAGAACTTTTAACATACCAAAATGTTCCCAGGTATGTCACAAGATAAAATGAAATATGAAAGCAAACCACATAAGGTGATATTTAGATCAAATGACCCAACGTCTTGTTAAAGAAGTAGGTTTTAATGAGTGTCTTAAAGGAGAAAACTGAGGTGGAGAGATATAGGGAGGGAACTCCAGCGCTTAGGACCTGGCAACTGAAGATATGGGCACTATTGCAGGAATGATTAAACCAGGGATTTTAGGAGGCCAGCAGATAGCTTGAAGGGTTGTTGTGGTGAAGGAGAGTACAGAGATAGGGTGGTGCCAGGCCATGGTGGGATTTGAAAACAAGGATGAAACACTTAAAATCAAGGCTTAGCTTGTCTGAAAGCATTGTGGTCATGCCATTGAGCTAGTAATCCAGAAGTCTGAACTAATGTTTGAGAGATGTGAGATCAAATTTCACCATAACTTGGAATTCAAATTTAACTGATTAAATAAATCTGGAATAAAAAGCTTGGTATGGTAACCATGAAAATACTGGGTTAATGTTAAAACATATTTAGTTAAATAATGTTGATTTTCAGAGGATCTAACACTATCATAGAATCCCTACAGTATGGAAGTAGGTCATTCATCCCATCAAGTCTTCAGTGACCCTCTGAAGAGCATCCCATTCAGACCCACGCCCCCTACTTTATTCCTGTAACCACACATATCCCATGGCTAACTCACCTAGCCCAAAAATCCCTGGATACTTTAGCATGGCTAATCCACCTGGACTGTAGGAGGAAACTGGAGCACCTGGAGGAAACCCACGCAGACACGGGGAGAATGTGCAATCTCCACACTGATAATCGCTCAAAGTTGGAATCAAACCCAGGATCCCAGTGCTGTGAGGCAGCAGTGCTAACCACTGAGCCACTGTGCTACCCATAATTTTTACAGAGGCAAAGCTGGTTCAGTAATGTCACACATTGGAAAGCAAAGCTACCATTTTTATCCAGCCTGCCTTCATTATGACTCTAAACCTACAACATTATTTACTCTTAACTCCCCTCTGAAATAGCCAAATTTAAAAAAAAACTAACGGCTACAAAGAACTACGAATGAATTCACAACTTCTGACTCAGAAGTAAATGAGCCAAAGCTGATGCACATATAAATTAATTTATATTATATTTAATACTGCATTGTGTTAGGCGTTGTGTGTTGTCATATTTTTGTATTCGTTTTTATTCATGGGTTTTGTTGCAGGTCATGATACTTTAGAAGATGTTACAGTTTCTGCCTGTATATACACAGAGGCAAAATCAGTATCTATCCTTGGGTGCAGCAGGATAACATACGTTGAGGATGTAGCATCTAAACTAACTCAAGTTCTGGTTGAAAGTGCCGGGATGGTGGATTGCACTAGCCACCTGACTCTGCTTGAACAATTTGGCCTAACCAGAGAGGCTGCACAGTCTTTAGATGAAAATATGACAGCTGCCGTTGAGCACTTGGAATTACCACCATCTTGGAATCTGCTTGGAAAGTGGTCAGGAAAAGGTAATTCAACTGTTAAATCTCTAGTTTATATAATGCCACTTCACACACTTGGAATGCACAGCATTCAAGTTTTTGAACGTTTTTAAGTTTTGCATTAGGAAGAAAGGTCTTTTATGAGGGAACTTATAGATTTCATTAGATTTTTCAAAAATGGTTGCAGTGTTGTGAAGAATTCTGTTACACCTGAAATAAGTAGAGCTTTGAAAACCAGCAAAGGGTGACCAAAAAGCTGATCAAAAGAGGAAGGAAATAGAAAACGAGTAACCATGCATATAAATTTGGACCAAGTGCTTTTGCAATTAAATACGGAGGGGCAAGTAGCCAAAGTAAATATGGGTTTGTTATTTGGAGAAACACACCTTGGGCAGTGAGGAAATGTTAACAGCATTGAATGAAAATTTTGTGTCCATCTTCACAATAGAAGATGTAAATTAGCCAACAAAAAAAGGTATGATGTTTTACCTGATGTGGCAATGCTTGTGTTATCTAATGTAACATAAGAAAGTAGACTATCATGGTATTGAAAAAAATCAATGCATATTTATAACAGCTTTATTATGCACAAACATGACATTCCTCAGGCATAGGTGTCCGGCCTAGTTTTAAGTTATCAATTTATAACAGAGGAGCTTGTTCTCTATAGAATGTCATGCTTCAAGTGATCTGAGGTAAGATAGAGTATAAAATCCTTTTACTCTGAGCACACATGCTGTGATACAGACCCATTGCGTTGCTAAGTTGTTGAATAGTGGTATATTTCAAGAAGTGATCCATCACCACGTTTAATCTGCCATGTGCACAGTGAATTAGACAGTTGTTACTTTTGTCTAAGGGGTGGATGAAACATCATGAGTATGTAGAGGCTACCTCTGTTACTGAGGTCAACCAGTCATTGAATATCCTGTTTTACCCCTGGCCTGTACATAGGTTCATGAGCCACCTGACTTATGCATTTACTAGCCAGACTTTAGTGTAACATGGACATGATACATGATTTTTTTATTCAGTTGTGGGATGTGGGTGACACAGGCTGGCCAGCATTTATTATAAGAACATAGAACATAAGAACTAGGAGCAGGAGTAGGCCATCTGGCCCCTCGAGCCTGCCCCGCCATTTAATAAGATCATGGCTGATCTTTGAGACTCAGCTTCATTTACGCGCCCACTCACCATAACCCTTAATTCCTTTACTGTTCAAAAATTTATCTAGCCTTGCCTTAAAAACATTCAGTGAGGTAGCTTCAACCACTTCACTGGGCAGGGAATTCCACAGATTCACAACCCTTTGGGTGAAGAAGTTCCTCCTGACCTCAGTCCTACATCTACTTCCCTTTATTTTGAGGCGATGCCCTCTAGTCCTAGTTTCACCTGCTAGCGGAAACAACCTCCCTGCCTCCACTTTATCTATTCCCTTCATAATCATATATGTTTCTATAAGATCTCCCCTCATTCTTCTGAATTCCAATGAGTATAATCCCAGTCTACTCAGTCTCTCCTCATATTCCAACCCTCTCAACTCTGGAATCAACTGAGTAAATCTCCTCTGCACTGCCTCCTATATCTCTTCTCAAGTAAGGAGACCAAAACTGCACACAGTACTCCAGGTGTGGCCTCACCAGGACCCTATACAGCTGCAGCATAGCCTCCCTGTTTTTAAACTCCATCCCTCTAGCAATGACAGACAAAATTCCATTTGCCTTTTTAATCACCTGCTGCACCTGCAATCCTACCTTCAGCGATTCATGCACAAGGACACCCAAGTCCCTTTGCACAGCAGTGTGCTGCAATTTTTTACCATTTAAAACATAGTCCATTTTGCTGTTATTCCTACCAAAATGGATGACCTCACACTTATCAACATTGCACTCCATCTGCCAGACCTTTGACCACTGACTTAGACTATCTATATCCCTCTGCAGACTTTCAGTGTGTTCTGCACACTTTGCTGTACCACTCACCTTAGTGTCATCTGCAAATTTTGACACACCACACTTAGTCCCCAACTCCAAATCATCTATGTAAGTTGTAAACAATTGAGGTCCCAACACTGATCCCTGAGGCACACCACTAGCCACTGACCGCCAACCAGAAAAACACCCATTTACCCCTACTCTTTGCTTTCTACTGGTCAACCAATCCTCTATCCATGCCAATACATTACCTGTAATACCGTGCAATTTTATCTTATGTAGCAGCCTTTGGTGTGGCACCTTGTGAAATGCCTTCTGGAAATCCAGATACACCACATCCACAGGTTCCCCTTTGTCCACCATGCAAGTAATGTCCTCAAAGAATTTCACCAAATTAGTTAAACATGACCTACCCTTCATGAACCCATGCTGGGTGTTCCCAATGGGACAATTTATATCCAGATGTCTTGCTATTTCTTCCTTAATGATAGATTCAAGCATTTTCCCCACTACCGAAGTTAAACTAACTGGCCTATAGTTACCTGCTTTTTGTCTACTTCCTTTTTTAAACAGTGGCGTCACATTGGCTGTTTTCCAATCTGCGGGAACCACCCCAGAGTCCAGTGAATTATTTCCCAACCTTAGTTGTCTTTGAGAAGGTGGTGGTGAGTTACTTTCTGTGTGCTGTTGGTAGACTCATAATACCGTAAGGGAGGTAATTCCAAGATTTTGACCCAGTGAGTGTGAAGGATAGTGTATATATATATTCCCAAGTCAGGATGGGGTGGCTTGGAGGAAAACTTGCAGGTGGTGGTGCTGGTGTTCCGATGTATCTGCTGTAATTGGCCTGCCGGATGGAAGTGGCCATGTGTTAAAAGGTGCTGTCTAAGGATGTTGGGCGAATTTCTGCAGTGTATGTTGTAGAGAGTATACACTGTTTCTACTGAGTGTGGAGGGAGTGGATGCTTGTGGATGCTTATGGATGTGGCATCAATCAAGTGGGCTGCTGTATCCTGAATCGTGTCAAGCATCTTGAGTGCTGTTAGAGTTGCAATCATCCAGGCAGGTGGGGAATATTCCATCACACTGCTGACCTGTGCCTTGTAGATGGTGGACAGGCTTTGGGGAGTCGGGAGGTGAGTTAGTTCTAGTCTTTGACCTGCTTATGTAGCCACTATTTATATGGTGAGTCCAGATCAGTTTCTGGTTAATGGTAGCCCCCAGCATGTTGATAGTGGGGGATTCAGCGATGGTAACACCATTGCATGTTAAGGGACGATGATTAGATTCTCTCTTATTCGACATCATCATTGCATGGCATTTCTGCGGCATGAATGTTACTGGCACTAAGACTTGTTCACCCTATGGAATAACTCATCATGATATGCCAAGTTCATTTCAGCTAAAGTCAAAGAATCTTCTCAGGTACTTTCTTAATACTGTCAGGCCATCCCTGGCTAATGACCTTTTGTAAATCTTATTGCTGCTCACCTTCAACAGTTGTCAACTGCAACTGTCAACACTGGCTGTCGCCAAAGTATAAAAGATCAACCTTGAGAACCTTCACCTTCATTGTCTCAAACATCAAAGTGAATACCTTGGTCTTCCTATGAGTTTGGTAATCTGCTCAGAATGTCAGGTGTAATCATCCTGGTACCTGGCTTATATCTCACTTCAGAGTCATATGCTTGGAGATCATTGACTGATTTGATTGTATCATGTGTGCTCTGTTTTGCTACAGTAGATGTGGTTTGAATATCATGAATGGTGATTTTACTGACATCTGTGCATACTGGTGGCCCTCCCAGTGCTGGACCAGTGATATTCACCAACTGAAGAATACAGGAAGCCGAGTTGAGCTTGTGTATTGGCACTGCAATACATTTCTGCCAATACGTGGAGTTTATAGTTCATCATATCCAGTGAGGAGTGCTCTCTTAGGCTACGTATGGAACTTCACTTGCTGAGGTTCATGCCAGACATTGTACTAATGTGTCAACATGAGCTCCCTTGTTGATGTTAGCTTTTTGTATGTGTTGTCCTTCTGTCAGGACATATAATATTAATGTTTGTAAAGTTCTTAATTGCCTTTACCATCAATGACATGTAAAAGATTAATATAATGGAAAACTTGGTCATCTTTTGAAGTTTGCCTTTCACTTGGTCATCTCTGTACTTCATTGATGTGTTTGTGTATGCTCTTAACACCTTTTTCTTATTGTCAATGTTATGGTAGTGTAGCTTTCTGTTTGCCTGTATATTGTTCTCTGGCTTTGGCTTGGTCTTTAGAACCAGATTTACTGCACATTTGTGCTCAGTGTCCCTTGATGCCACATGCTTTATAGATATCAAGAAAAACTGGATAGGGTGTTGCAACTAACAGCATATGTACACATTTTGTTGGTTTGATGTGTTTTGTTGATTGTAGCAATCATATTGGCTGCATCTAAAACCTGTAATTGTTGTTGGCCTGCCATTATGGCTTCATACTTGGATTCATCCTCAAGTGATGCATTAATGAAACAGCTCTTTTACTTGCCTAAAAGATTCTACCCAAAGGTTTTAAATGGTGTAAAAATAATGACTACTTTCATGTGCCGCTCTGACAGGTCCCATTTAGAAAAGACAAATTCATGCTCTTTGCTGTAATGTCTTGAGGCAAGCTGGTCAGACATGTACAGCAGAAAGAGGCCATTAGCCCATTTTGTCTGTGCCAGTCAACAAAGGTCTGACTACACTGAGCCCATTTTCCAGCTCTTGATTGATAACCCTGGAGGCTATGGCAAGATAAGTGAGTATCTAAATGTGGAGATAGTAAGAACTGCAGATAGTGGAGTCAGGGACAACACAGTGTGGAGCTGGAGGAACACAGCAGACCAGGCAGCATCAGAGGAGCGGGCACGTTGACGTTCTAACTGCTACTGTTATGACTCACTGGGGTAGCATGCTAGAAATTAAGCCCCACTATTCTCAGTGTCATCACTAAAGCTAAAAATTTTATAAAGTACTCAAGGTTCTTTGATTTACATGATTTTCAGACCCAGATTGATAGAAGACATCGTCTGGGTTTTTGTACTTAACATGGATCACTGTTTATTACAAGTAATTAGATTCTAGCTACAGGTACAGTTATAAACTATTGGTATGTAATGTTGCCAATTAAAACTCTAATCCCCTTATAAACTCCTCCTTACACACACACATACAGACACACACACACACACACACACACACACAGACAAACACAGGGTAAAATAGGCTATGGACAGAGAGGAAAACCTGGAAAGTAATCTTTATTCCCAAATATAGTTGTAGAGATGATCCTTATGACTCTTCTGCTAGCCAGCACATTTCTTCTTCTGATATGTTTCCTCTGGTTGGTAAGAGACACAAGGTAGACAGTTTATTTGTAAAAAGTCTCAGACATATCAGTTAGAAGTTGCAGCTTACAACAACTGTTGAGGAAAAAATTAACTGTTTTCTTAGGTTTACAGTGAGTTTTGACTGAAGTGAATAGAGACACTGCTCCTGAGCTGGGGATAAAAACTGAACTCTTCTCTCTCTGTAAGTTGTTCCCAACTCCCAAGTTGTTCAAAAACAGAAATTGCTGGAGAAACCCTGCAGGTCTGGCAGCATCTGAGGATAGAGCTCACCATAGATGCTGCCAGACCTGCTGAGTTTCTCCAGCAATTTTTGTTTTTGTTTCAGATTTCCAGCATCTGCAGTTCTATGTTTTATCCCAAGATGTTCACTTTCACAGTTGTTGGCAGGCTGAATGGTCTCTGTCAATGATAACTGGTCACTAGTCCATAGACCAATTAACTTCTTGTTTCCAGCAAACTCTGCATCAGTATACCCTGTCAGCACCAAATTATCAGCACCATAAACCCCAATTACTGCTTGTTCAAACAATTGTGTACAATACTTGCCATTGCTGTCAGGTTTTTCACAACGTTACAATCACCCGTTCAAACACTGGCTTCAAAACAGCATTTTCTCATTTCAGTTCCCTTTAAAATAAATACAAAATAGAAAAGACATAGTCCTTTCACTGCTTAACTGTTAAAAGAGTTTCTGACCTTGTGAAAGTTTATGAATGATTTTTAAGGGCATATTGTTCAGGTGTGGCATTGTTTAGTTCTCAGCAAAAGTCTGATAGCAAAAAAAAACAAATGCTGCAAGTTTGAAATAAGAACAGAAAATTTTGGAAACATTCAGCAGATCAGTTAGCACCTGTAAAAGTATAAGAAAGTTTCTGATATTTCAGGTGTGTTTAATTCTTAATTTATAATCTGACTCAGGGTATACTTAAAGTGTTTGTCTTTTTCTTTTGAAGATTTTCATTCTAAATTAACGGAGTTTCCCTTGTTGATGACCTGTAATATATAAAGGGACAGTAGCTCTTCTGGAATTGGAAAAAATTGGGACGTCTAAACCCATTTGCCCTGGTGACAATCTCATTCCACGTTCTAGGATCTTGGATATTTCATCATAGCATCATAGAATCGCTACAGTATGGAAGCAGGCAATTTGGCTCATCAAGTCCACAGCGACCCTTCCAAAGAGCATCCAGCCCAGAAATTAGGATCATAAAAGGAGCAGATTCACAGATCATAGAATCCCTACAGTGTGGAAACAGGCCCTTCGGTGCAACAAGTCCACATCAACGCTCGGAGCATCCCACCGAGACCCATCCCCCAATAACCCACCTAATCTACACATCTCTGAACACTATGGGCAATTTAGCATGGCCAATCCACCTAGCCTGTACACCTTCGGACTGTGGGAGGAAACCAGAGCACCTGGAGGAAACCCACGCAGACATGGGGAGAACGTGCAAACTCCACACAGTCACCCGAGCGTGGAATCGAACCTAGGTCCCTGGCGCAGTGAGGCAGCAGTTCTAACCATTGTGCCACCCACTAAGATCATTAGAAGTGCTACAGAGGCATTGAAATGTCAGGCAGATCTAGGCAAGGGGCTAAAAGTTTGTAAAGTTGACAGAATTGTGAACTTTGCCATTGCCCTTGTACATAGATGCTGCCAGACCTGTTGGGTTTCTCCAGCAATTTCTGCTTTTGAACAACTTGGGAGTTTGGAACAAGTTACAGAGAGAGAATGTTCAGTTTTACCCCAGTTCAGGAGCGGTCTTTCTATTCTCTTCAGTCAAAAGCAGGTGATCTTGCCTGTAGCAGTTGTTTAAGGGCAGTAGTCGCCAACAACATGAATGTGTTTTTTCTAAAACACCTTCCAAACAAATGAAATAACACTTTGCCCTGATTTTCTTTTTTTTTATTTTAGAGATAAACCACAAGGAAACCCTGCTACATGTTTCAGTGAGACTAGGTCTTTACAAATTCTCTCAGTTTTTACTGTGCCAGCCTGGTGGTATCCAAGCTGCGATTGTGCCCAATGAGGAAGGACTGATGCCCGTGGACTTAGCTTTGCAGAATGGGATGCATTGCCTTGCTGAATATTTGAAAGAGTGAGTACCTGATGTTTGTGAATTAGGCCTGTTTTCCATTTTTAATTTTGCTGCTTTCATTTTTTATGTGAAGACTGAAAATCTGTTTCATTTCTTATAACTGCTCAATTAATTGTATAATGACTGAATTATAGAATGAAGTGGAAGTTACAGGGCTGGGATAGGGTTAGAATTTAAATGACCTTATAAGTGGGGAAAATGTCAAATTCAACACATGGATATTTAAGTAAATATAGGAACAGTATTAACTTGAATGATACATTTTGCCAATTCAAAGGATATGTATGCTGGTGAGAATTTTTTGGTCATACTTTAAGCTCATTTGGTTAAAGACACTAAATTAAACAGTTTAATGATTCCCACAAATGAGCAGATGATAAAGAGGATGAAAAAAATTAGCATTAGTATGACTCATTTGTATTCCACATGACTGAGGAGAACAACATAGTTCTGCTTTAACCAGGATGAAAGTGGAAGTTGTGTTTTATTGTCTGCTTGGATTTTTGTAAAGGATCAGACAGCATAACTCCATATTTGTGTCATAGAATCATAGAATCACACAGCACAAAAGGGGCCCTTCAGCTCATTCAATCTGTACCACCATGTGGTCTCATGTATTCAAAATGTATCCATGGAACACTGCTTGTCCCTACTTCCTCTTGGCACATTTCAATCATATGACTGGTGTAATACAAGTAGCAGTACTTTTGCAGAAACTATAGAATTAATAGGAGTTACTTTGACACATTGTAATGTGCAAAATGCACTCTGGGATAAGCTCAAGATAACACCAACCAGCAAAATGAAATCTCTGGTTCAGAGATTAAGTGGTGTAATCTGCCAAAAATATCTGGGGATGAATAAATCTACTGTTCTTCATAAAAATCAGTTGACTACAGCAGGTTAGGGCAATATTGTCAGTGTGGTTCTTTCAATTTGGAAATAATTTCTAAATTGTTCAGATTGATGAAACTGGTTGTATCCTGTCTGACACAGGAAACTATAGGGAGGTCAAAACCAACTTTTTTTTTGATACAGCAAAGAAAACCCTCCTGTAATGCACAACACATTTTTGGCATTAAATAAGTTCTTTGTATTAGCCAGCTTTGTGATCTATGATGTAAAATTGGGAATACTCCTGAACATTGCAGGGTAAAAGCAAATTGTAGGGCACTTGGTGGAGGATTTGCCTTGCAACTGATCCTGTGCTGTCCAATGTGTGAAATCCTTAGAGATAGTAAAGGTCTTAGACAAATTCCTCAATTTTAAGAAGTTCGATTGGACTGAATGAAAGAACAAGGGAGAGTTGGAGGAAGACAGATTCTTACAGATCTGGAGAAGATTGCAGAGATCAGAAGGATGACGCCATAAAGGGATTTGAATAGGATAGGAATCTTAACCTTGAGCCATTGCAGGAAATTAAGCACAGGCATAATGACTTATTAGAATTAGTACAGAATACAGTATGGACAGAGTTTTCAATGACTTGTAACTCTTTGGTGGTGGATTATGGAAGGCTGGCCAACTATTCCAGTAGAATTGTTGGACACTGAAGATGACAAAGCCTTTGGTGAAAACTCTTGCAGAAGAGGATTGAGGACAGGCAGTTTCGTGGAGGTAATTCTAGCTGATCTCTGTGATGGAAAGGGTATGAGGATGAAAGGTCAACTTATGATCAGAGAGTGGGTTCAGAACAGGGCAATGGAATGATGTTTGTGGTAGGTGCCAAAGACAATGGCATCATAGAAACAAACAGTATAGAAGAGGCGCTTCAGCCCATTGAGTCCACACTGGCAGAAAATTACTCCAAACATTTGTTAGTCTCACTTTTCAACACTTGGCCCATAGCCTTGAATATTATCATCAGTCTTCTCAAAGTTTTTAACTGGGGGAGATTGCAACTCCTCCAAGACCAAATGTTAGATAGGCAGCAGAGCTGTGCATTGTCAGTGTGTACGTGTAAGTTGACCACATGTTCGCAACAAAATGTTGCCAAGAACAGACTTGTAGATGCAGAATAATTTGGGTCAATGATATATCTTTCAGGAATTCCAGAAATAACAATGCAGGAGTGGGAAGTGAAGCCATTTCTGAAATCCTTCTGGTTGCACACATAAAAGTGGAACCAGCTGAGGTCTGTCCTGCTGAGCTGGTTAATGGAGAAGAGCCAATGAAGTTGGATGCTTTGGTTAATTATGTCAAAAACTGCAGAGATGTTTGAAAGTGTAAGGAGGAAAACATGATACTGTCACCAGACATCACAGTACAATATGCAAATAAATTTTTCTCTCTCAGAAAGCTGTGGACATTGGGTCAGTTGAAGCTTTCAAGAGTGAAATTGATAGATTGTTTTGGGGTAATGGTATCAAAGGATATGGAATAAAAACTGATAAAGCGATGTTGAACTAAATATCAGCTGTAATTTAAATGAATGGCAGAGCATTCTTGAGGGACCAAATTGTCTACACTTGTTCCTAAAGAAAGCTCATTGCTTTATCTCACTTCCTGTACCACCACCTTGGCACCAATTAGTAATAGAATTTCTGAAACGGCTATCTTTTACAGTAACATTCTAGACTGGGCCTGGGATAGGCAACAAGAGGGGAAAATACTTGATCTTATCCTGACCAATCTATTTGTCACAGTTGCACCTGTCTATGACAGTATTGGTTGGAGAGACCACTGCACAGTCCTTTGGAGTTCCATCTTCTTCATAGAATCCCTACAGCGTGGAAACAGGCCATTTGGCCCAACAAGTCCACACCAACTCTCTGAGGAGTATCCCATCCAGGCGCACTCCCCTACCCTATCCCTGCAACCCTCATGGCTAATCCACCTAACCTACACATCTTTGGACTGTGGGAGGAAACCAGAGCACCCAGAGGAAACCCACGCAGACACAGGGAGAATGTACACACTCCACACAGACAGTTGCCCGAGGCTGGAATTGAACCTGGGTCTCTGGTGCTGTGAGGCAATAGTGCTAACATTGACACACCATGCTAAATGGAATAGATTACAAACTGACCTAGCTACTCAAAGCCAGGCATCCATAAGGTGCTGTGGGCGTCAGCAGAATTGTAATTGATCAAAGTCTGTAACATTATGGCCTTTCATATAGCCCACTCTTCTATTACTACCAAGACAGGAGATCAGCATTGGTTCAATGAAGAGTGCGATAAGCATACCTAAATATCAGGTACCATCCTGGTGAAGCAACTTGAATTCCAAACAGCATGCAGTAGACAAAGCTAAGTGATCCCACAACCAATGGATCAGATCTCAGCTCTGAGGTACTGCCACGTTCAATTATGATGAGCAATTAAACAACTTATTGGAGGAGGATGCTCCACAAATATGCCAATCCTCGATGGTGGGTGAGCTCAATGTATCAATGCTAAAGAAAAGCTGAAACGTGTTTTGGCCTCCTCCTGAGGTCCCCATCATTATGGATGCCAGCCTCAGCCACATGTTAAAGAAATGATCAGCTTAGTTGTCTGGCAACAGGTTTGTGATGCAGAATGAGGCCCAGATTATAGGTTCAATTCCTGTATCATCATGAAGAGCATTGTCTTCTCAGCTTCAAGCCTTGCCTCAAGGATAAACTCAGCAATAGTTATCTTCCTCTAATTAAAAAGCAACCTCTAGAATTATGAAAACTTTCATTTCACTTCATCAAGAAACACTGAAGGTACTGGATTCTGTGAAGGCTATTGGTCCTGACCACATTCTGGCAATATTACTGCCCACACTATTTGTTGACCCTAGACAAGATAATCAATTTGTTGCAATCTGATTGGAGACCAATAAACTTCTATTTTTAAAGTCGATAAAAGATGAGATTCAGGGGACCTATCAAGAGTCTAAACCCACAAGGTTCCACAAATGACCAGACTTTACAGTGCAATTTAGAACCTTAGTCTAATTGACAATATATATACAAATTTTTTCTAACACCCATAATTAACATACGGTAACTGTGGGTAATATACTATGAACAAGCACATTACAGCATATATCAAATAGAAAATGTGATCAAGACAGATCCCATGGATTTCTCAGCACCTCCTGCCAGTTGTTAATAATACTGTGGATCATCAAATCTTCTTAAAGTTCACAACAGATTATAGTTCTTCATTTTGCCGATTTAATCTTGAAATTGTCGTGTGCAAATTTATGGTGAAGGAGAAAGTGTATTACCCAACATGTATCTCGCAATGAACATTGCAAAAAAAATCAGGTTAACTCCTTTTTATTTGTGAGACCATGCTCTGCAAAAATTGCCTGCTGTGTTTTCCTACATTATACTGGTGACAACATCTTGGAAGTACTTTTATTGACTATGAAGCTAGGTAAGATAGAAGCAGGGAAGTTGTTTCCACTGGCGGGTGAAACTAGAATTAGGGTGCATAGCCTCAAAATAAGGGGGAGCAGATTTAGGATTGATTCGAGAAAGAACTTCTACTCCCAAATGGTTGTGAATCTGTGGAATTCCCTGTCTAATGAAACAGCAGAGGCTACCTCATTGAATGTTTTTGAGGCAAAGACAGCTAGATTTTTGAGCAGTAAAGGAAGTAAAGGTTACCGTGAGTGGGCAGGTAAGTGGAGCTGGGTCCACGAAAAGACCAGCCATGATTTGAAAGCTGTTGTAAAGGAGGGGTACATTGAAACATGTTTTGTTCCTCTTTTTTGCTCTCTTAGTATTGAGAATTCCCAAGTCACACCATCAGTTGGAATCTCAAAGACTTATGGTGACAGCCACATACTACAGAAGTGCCGAAGTAGACGAAACACATCTATACTGACTGTGGATAACAAGATAAGGCATTCACTGGAGTCAGATATTCTGTTGCTGCGGGGATATATACATGATACTAACTTGGAGAATATGGTAAGATGATAAAATCTTCCTGCAATAGAGTGCATAAGTGTTCTGGTGTATCCTCAATAGTGGTAGATATACACTAGTACTGTTCAGTGTAAGGTTGGATTTCTGCATTTAGAGAATAAAGCATAGGTTAGCATTCAGACATATTGCTGTCATTTAGTTTTGAACAGCTCAAACACAACAGCATTTCTATTTTTAAAATAACCCAGAAATATGTATTAAGGACAAAAATATCTGATCAATTGATTTGATTATACAGCATAGAAGGAGATCATGATTGTGACAGCATAATGACTATAATTTGTGGTACATCATTTATCTGAGAGGTAATAAAAACTGAAAGAACTGCAGATGTTGTAAATCAGGAGCAAAAACAGAAGTTGCTGGAAAAGCTCAGCAGGTCTGACAGAATCTGTGAAGAAAAAATCAGAGTTAACGTTTCGGGTCTGGTGACCCTTCCTCAGAACTGATGGTAGCTGGGAAAACGTTGGTTTATAAGCAGAAAATAGGGAGGGGGTTGAGGTAGGGAATAAACAATAGGATAGAGCCCGAAGAGAGAGAAGAGCAGTTGGAAATACAAAGGTGTTGATAACAATCTGGCTGGGAGGGTAAATAGTTGTTAATGGGGATTGTAAGTGACTAACGATAGGTAGTGTGTAATGGCAGACTGTGTGATAACAAGGTCTGGTGTGTGGCGTAGGGGGCTAGGACATGGGAGAGTTTAGGCCCTAAAATTGTTGAACTCGATATTGAGTCCAGAGGACTGCAGGGTCTCCAGCAGAAAATGAGGGGTTGTTCTTTACGTTTACATTGAGCTTCGCCGGAACACTGCAACAAACCAGAGACAGAGATGCTGGCCAGGGAACAGGATGCTGTGTTAACGTGGCAGGCAATAGGTGGTTCAGGGTCTTTTTTGTGACCAGGACATAGATGTTCTGCAAAGCGGTCACGCAGTCTACGCTTTGTTTCCCCAATGTAGAGGAGACTATATTGTGAGCAGCGAATGCAGTAGACTAGATTCTGGGAAGTGCACGTGAAGTGTTGCTTCACCTGGAAGGTATGTTTAGGCCCTTGGATAGTGGGGACGGAGGAGGTAAATGGGCAGGTGTTGCACTTTTGCCAGTTGCAGGGGAAGGTGTCTGTGGGGGTGTGTTCGGGGTGAAGGAAGAGTGGATCAGGGTGTGCCGAAGGGAACGGTCCCTCACCCCTTCTTTTCCCTCCCGCAACAGTGATAGGGTTCCCCTTGACCTTACCTACCATCCCACCAGCATCCATATCCAGAAGATCATCAGATGCCATTTCTGCCACTTCCAGCGAGATGCCACCACCAGACACATATTCCACTCCCCTCCCTTGTCTGCCTCCCTGGTCCACCCTTCCTTCACCTCCAATGGGGTCTCCTCTACATTGGGGAAACGAAGTGTAGACTGGGTGACCGCTTCACAGAACATCTACGTTCTGCTGCACATAAGACCCTGAGCTACCTATCGCCTGCAACTTTAACCCACCACCTTGTTCCCTGGTCAACATCTCTGTCTCTGGCTTGCTGCAGTGTTCCAGCGAAGCTCAGTGCAAGCTGGAAGAACAACACCTCATTTTCTATGTGGGGACCCTGCAGCCCTCTGGACTTAATATCGAGTTCAATATTGTTAGAGCCTAAACTCTCCCATGTTCGACCCGACTAAGCACACACCAGACCTTGTTATCACATAGCCTGCCATTACACACTACCTATAACACAGTGTGGAGCTGGAGGAACACAGCAGGCCAGGCAGCATCAGAGAAGCAGGAAAGTTAAGATTTCGGGTCAGCACCCTTCTTCAGAAATGTGGAGGGGGAAGGGAGCTCAGAAATAAATAGAGAGAGGAGGGGGTTGGGCTGGGGAACATAGGTGGCATGGTGATAGGCGAGTGCAGGGGGGGGGGGGGGGGGGTTGGGTGGGGGGGGGGGGGGGGGGCGGATAGGTGGGAGACAAGATGGACAGGTTGTGTCAGGTCAAGGAGGCGGGGATGAGAGGAAGGGTTAGTCATGGGATGAGGCTGGGTTTGGAACTGGTAAAGTCCACATTTAGGCCATTGGGCTGTAGGCTCCCAAGGTGGAAAATGAGGTGCTGCTCCTCCACTGGCATCATTGTGACACTGGAGGAGGCCCAGGATGGACATGTCACCCAGGGAGTGGGAGTGGGAGTGGGAGTGGGAGTGGGAGGGGGAGTTGAAGTTGAAATGGTTTGCAACCAGAAGGTGTTGTCTTTTGTCGTGAACAGAGCGCGGTGCTTCTACAAAGCCGTCTCCAAGCCTCCGCTTGGTCTCCCCAGTGTAGAGGAGGCCTCAGTGGGAGCAGCGGATGCATTGAGGGATATGCAGGTAAACCTCTGTCTAATGTGGAAGGTTTGTTTGGTTCCTTGAATGGAGGTGAGGTGGGAGGTGTAGGGGCAGGTGTAGCACTTCCTGCAGTTGCAGGGAAAGGTGCTGGGGGTGGTGGGGCTAGTGGGGAGTGTGGAGCGGATGAGGGAGTTGCGGAGAGCACGGTCCCTACGAAAGGCAGATAGGTGTGGAGAGGGAAATATATTTTTGGTGTGGGTTCAGATTGTAGGTGGCGGAAGTTTGCGGAGAATGATATGTTGGATATGGAGGTTAGTGGGGTGATATGTGAGGACAAGGGATATTCTGTCTTTGTTTTTGTTGGGGGAGGGGAAGTGAGTGCAGAGGTGCGGGAAACATAAGAGATGTGGTTGAGAGCATTTTTGACCACTGAAGGGGGGAAGTTGCGGTCTTTGAACTAAGCGGACATCTGGGATGTTCGGGAGTGGAACGCCCCATCTTGGGAGCAGACACGGCGGAGGAATTGGAAGTAGGGGATCGCATTCTTGCAGGAAGGTGGGTGAGAGGAGGTATAGTCTAGGTAGCTGTGGGAGTCGGTGGGCTTGAAATAGATGTCAGTTTCGAGGTGGTCACCAGAGATGGAGACAGAGAGGTCCAGGAAAGAGAGGGAGGTATCAGAGATGGCCCAGGTGAATTGTTAGTCACTTACAGTCCCCATTAACAACTATTCACCCTCCTATACAGATCATTATCAACTTCTTTGTCTATTCAACTGCTCTTGTCTCTCTTCAGGCTCTATCCTATTGTTTACTCCCCACCCCATTCCCCCTCCCTATTTTCTGCATATAAACTGACATTTTTCCAGCTACCATCAATTCTGAGGAAGGGTCACCGGACCCGAAACGTTAACTCTGATTTTTTTCTTCACAGATGCTGCCAGACCATCTGAGAGTTAATGTTTGATTGATTTCTAACTCGGTTCGCAGAGCTTTTTTTAGTCTCTCTGCTTGATTCCATTTTCTTCCACTACAAATAAGCAAATGGGAAAACAATATATTTTCCATTGACTTCCAAAATGAGTCACTTGTTGGCAGAGGGCATTAAATTGCTGAGATTAGAAATAGTCTCTATCAGTAAACAAATTTGAGGGAATCTAAAATGCCTGGTTTATCCTGTTCAATGTCCAGTTGACATATTATTTTTTCAGTATTTATAGAATGTCATAACTGTTGTTGAAAACTTCAGTTAGCAAACAATTTCATAATATCAAGCAACACAGTATACTTTCAGCACAATTATTTTACTGTACTGAATCAATACCATTAGACATTGTGTGACCATAAATTACTTTTGTAGCTTGCAGCTTTTGGATTAGGTTAGAGTTGATTCATACTGATTTATGTCTACCCATTGTTACAATGCATGAGAAATGAACAAAGAAACACACTTTTAGAGATAAAATGTTGTTTTTATCAATTGTGGCAAAAGATCACATCAAGTTAAATCAGGGTGAAAGTGTGGTTAATTTTGAGCTAAAGTGCTTCAGGAGTGTTGCCAGTGTATTGCCTCATATCCATGATTACAACTACACTACTGCCTCTCTCTCTTTCACCTGACAGAGACAGAGGTCTCATGAATACATGTAATTTGCAGCTCTATGATGCATTTAACCATATTAACCAAAAGGTGATACAATCTGTCTGGTACTGGACTAACTAGTAAAGCCTAGTGGGATTGGTCACTTGGAGCCACTTAAACTTCAATGTAAAATTGCACTCAGCTGTAAACAATTGGATCATGTTTTCTGTGTGGATTGCCAGACGAGTTTCCAGGTTTTAGATCACTTCCTTTTGATATTCTCACTTGATTATCTTCAGTAACTATTATCTGCATATAATGGTTGCTGTTATTGTTTGCTCCATTTGGAAGATGAAGAGAGTGGCAGTAGTAGCCTTGGCAATGAGCATCAGCAATTGCTGAATCTGTAAGAAGGCAGCAGGTAAGCAGGGCTACTTTTGGAATCCAAACCCAAAACATGGGATGTGGAGGCCACAAGTCAGTTTCTTGGATCTAATTGAAGGGAAGTAAGCAAGCAGCTTGCATTCATCTAATCACGTTTGCAGCCTCCTGCAAGAATGTTTTCTGTTTCAAAGTCAGTTTTTCTCTGTTATTGGACTGTTATAGTTTGTTGCAGGGCAAATTAGTCATATCTCCTAATCTACAGTACACACCTATATTAACCAGGCTATCAATGTCCTGTTACTGGGGCTGATAAGTTTAACCCCTTCTCCACTGATTTTGACAATCATCCACAAAGAGCACTGAAAACTAAAGATGCTGGAAATGACAGTGGGTCGGGCAACATCCATGGAGAGAAGGCAAGCTAGCATTTTGAGTCTAGATGACTCTTCTTCAGAGCTGGCATGAAGTGTGGAGGGAGCAGCATTTATACAATCGTTGGGGGTGGGTGAAGTGCAGGGAGAGAAAGGATGTTGATAGTGTAGGTTAAGTGATCGGAATGTGAGAATTGCTCCCTGGATGACCGGAGAGCAAGTGAGATAGCAGATGTATTGGGGTCACTCCAGCATCTTGCAGCAAGTGATGTGAGGGATGAATTAATTCTCAGTGATTCCAGTGAGCTCTTTCCTCCACTCTGAGAACTCTTGCCAAAAAATATGAAATAACAATTAAACCATTCAATCAAATCTTATTGCAAGGATATTCTGTCAAAACAGATGGGGAGCAGTGTGCGGACCTCTTCAGAGAAGACTTTGGCACTGCCACTCCATTGTCTAGGTCTCAGCATCTCCACAGATCTGTGGGTCAATGGACAGCAAAAAAAAGTGATATCTTGAAAACACTTATTCATTTGCTCCACTAATCTCTTCAAGGTTCCACTTGATTATGCAAGGTGGATATCTACTTCTTTAAAAATGGAGTGCAGATTCGAGCCCAAAGTTGTATCAGGTTCCAGCAAAACTACAGAATCTAGTGGCTGTACTTCAATATAATCACCTCTGTGATAACTAATCTACACTTGTGTTTCAGTCTAACAACTTAAATTTTAACCTATTTTTCTAATTAACCCATGTTATTACACATCTCTGAAGTAGGTGGAACTTGAACCTGGGTCTCTTGGTCCAGGGGTGGGGACAGTGCCACTGTGCCACTTAATATTCATCATTCTTGTGTTCAAATCTTTCCAATGCCTTGTTCCTCCCCAATGCGGTATCTTCTTCAGGTCTGTTTCCCTCCCAGAATTCTGCAGTCCTCCAATTCTGTTCTTGTGCATTCTCCACTCCTTCACTTGGTATTGAGAGATGATACAAGCACTAATCCCTGGAATTCCCTTACCAAACCTTTCCATCACTCTAACTCTCTCTCTACCTCTGTTGCGCACTCTCTCTCTTTCTCTGTCTACTTTTTACATTGGAACATAAGACTTGCAGCAGTAGGCCATTTGGCCCTTCAAGCTTGATCCATCTGACTATAGGATCATGGCTAATCTGGTCGGTGCCTCATCTCCACTCTCCTGTCTGCATTGTATAACCCTTGAAAATTAAGACCTTTTAATAAAACATAAGTGTGATCATGCTTTAAGTCAACCAAACTAATTGTTTCTTTTAAAGTTTACTGTTAATTTTTGTCTATATTGTGTTCCTGCAAAACCCACGGATGATTATTTCTGCATTAAAGATGGTTTATAAATGTAGGTTATGTTATTTTACAGTTGTTCTTCTTTTCTCGATAATTATCTGCTACTTATCAGTTTCTGGAACTAAATTATATCATGCTTCTTTCTTAGTTGGACTGAAAACGTACTGATTTGGAAGTTAGTCTTGGGTGCATTCTGAAGAGTGTTACCAACTTAATGACGTTCTTTCCCACCTTTCTTGCATCAGTTACAATTGTCCATATTATTTTTCTTGCATATTGCTCTGCCAGAACAGTGCTGTTATAGCATTTCCAATGAAAGGTCATTAATCTGAACCGTTAACTGTTTCTTTCTCCATAGATGCCGCCTGACTGTCAGAGACTGAAGGGTGACCCTAGAGGTTTATAAAATCATGAGGGACATGGATAGGGTGAATAGCCAAGGTCTTTTCCCCAGGGCAGGGGAGTCCAAAATTAGAGGGCGTAGGTTTAAGGTGAGAGGGGAAAGATTTAAAAGGGACCTAAGGGGCAACTTTTTCACAGCAAAAGTTGTGCGCATGTGGAACGAGCTGCCAGGGGAAGTTGTGGAAGCTGGTATAGTTACAATATTTAAAAGGCATCTGGATAGCTACATGAATAGGAAGGATTCAGAGGGATATAGGCCAAATCTGGCAAATGGGACTAGATCAGTTTAGGGTATCTGGTCAGCGCAGACAAATTGGACTGCAGGGTCTATTTCCATGCTGTATAACTTTATGACCTGCTAAGTATTCCTACCACATTTTCAATTTCAGATATGCAGTATTTTGCTTTTGTGTTGCTACAGCAAAATATTATAACCAAAACGTATGTGCAGATAGTGTTAGTAACTTAGGGATTTGTGTAAATAACAAGTTGGAGCAGGTACAATACACGGTGGAAGTTTTAAAAACTCTCAATTCAAAGTTTATATTCCTCTCTAGGCCAATTTAAAACCAAAGAACATGACCACAGAGTACATTAGAAATTATGTTTCACAGTCTTACAGGCATAGAATGAATAACAACATTTTTATACTTCTTAACTTCCTGTTGGGCTTTCCCCAGTGATAATTTAGGCTTAATGTACAAATGTCAAAATTTTGCCTGAAATTTTGCTTAAAGCATGAATTTTGGAATAAAATAATTAATGCTTTGTATTTTCTTCAAGGGAAATGCAAACATGGATGAACTGAAGTTGAATCACCTCTGTACAGGGGAAGGCCATAACGAAGTAAAAGAAGAACAAGGTATGTTGAGAGATAGTAGGAACTGCTGATGCTGGAGTCTGAGATAACAAGGTGTAGAGCTGGATGAACACAGCAGGCCAAGCAGCATCAGAGGAGCAGGAAGGCTGACATTTTGGATCTGGACCCTTCTTCAGAAATGGGGGAGGGGAAGGGGGCTCTGAAATAAAGAGAGAGAGAGGGGAGGCGATGATGGAAGCTGGATAGAGGAGCAGATAGGTGGAGAGAAGATGAACCAGTCAGGGAGGCGGGGATGGAGCCAGTAAAGGGGAATGTATGTAGGGAGCTGGGATAGGGGTTGGTCAGTTGGGAGGGTGGGGCAGGTAGGTGGGAGGGAAGACAGACAGGTCAAGGAGGCAGAGGATGATGCGTTGAATCCGGAGGTTGATGGGGTGCAATTCTCTCCCCACAGTGGTTGAAAACGCCCTCGACCACATCTCTCGTGTTTCCCACAACTCAGCCCTCACACCTCCTCCCTGCAATACCAACAAAGACAGAGTTCCCTTCGTCCTCCCGTATCACCCCACCAACCTCCGGATTCAACGCATCATCTTCCGCCACCTGCAATCTGACCCCACTACCAAGGACATTTTTTCCTCCCCACCCTTATCTGCCTTCCGGATGGGCTGCTGTCTCCGTGACTCCCTTGTCTGCTGCACACTCCCCACTAGCCTCACTTGCCCCACCACCCCCGGCACTTTTCCCTGCAACCGCAGGAAGTGCTACATCTGCCCCTACACCTCCCCCCTCACCCCATCCCAGGCCCCAGGAAAACCTTCCACATTAGACAGATGTTCACCTGCACACCCGCTAATGAGGTATATTGTATCCGCTGTTCCCAATGTGGCCTCCTTTACATCGGTGAGACCAAGCGGAGGCTTGGGGACTGCTTTGTGGAACACCTACGCTAGGTTCGTGACAAATGACTACACCTCCCAGTCGCGAACCACTTCAACGCCCCCTCCCACTCTTTGGACGACATATCCATCCTGGGCCTCCTCCAGTGCCACAACGATGCCACCCAAACGCTGGAGGAACAGCATCTCATGTATTCCGCTTGGGAACCCTGCAGCCCAATGGTCTCAATGTGGACTTCACAAGCTTCAAATTCTCCCCTCCCCCGACCTCATCCCAAGACCAGCACAGCTCGTCCCCGCCTCCTTGACCTGCCCATCTTTTCTCCCACCTATCTGCTCCTCCCACCTCACTGACCAGCCCCCATCCTAACTCCCTACCTACGCTCACCTTTACTGGCTCCAGCCCCGCCTCCTTGATCTGTCCATCTCCTCTCCAGCTATCTGCTCCTCTGTCCACCTTCCATCATCACCTCCCTTTTCTCTATTTATTTGAGTCCCCTTTCCCTCCCCCATTTCTGAAGAGGGGTCCAGACCCGAAATGCCAGCTTTCCTGCTCCTCTGATGCTGCCTGGCCTGCTGTGTTCATCCAGCTTTACACCTTGTTATCTTATAACAAGGTATGTTGATATCATTTTAAAGACTGATGTCCAGTTAATTGACATTTAAATACAGAAACACTAATTTAATGTTAAAATTCTATTTTGGATTGTAGGAACTTAGGAAACTTGCATAATAAGAGACCTTATTTGTAAGTTCCTTGAATTCGACAAATTATCACTGTTGAGATTTCTCAAATAAGGTGCAGCTCAAAACTTTGGATATCAACTTGTAAATCAATTTAGAAGGTGATTTGATTTATTTATTGTCACATGTATTTTGATACAAAATACAGTGAAAAATGTTGTCTGTTGTATAATGTCCATTACTTTAGCCCTTTTTCAGAGTAAATGGAGGCTGATACTTAACATACGTACTTCCCTTGCCCTGATACTGACCTGCTGTACACTGCTACTGTTTGTTACATTGTTTATGCTGTCCTTTTGGAACAAAGTTGAATTGATTTGAATCTGCACAATATTGGGAATGTCTTAGTAAGTTGCAGCTTTTGGATGTGCTGTTAACACTTGGGGATATGGGGTTGAATTCCAAGGTATGTTCTTTAGGTTCTTGAAATTCTATTTAATGTGAACAGATTTGTAACTGAAGTTTATGTCTACCATCTCCCAATTCAGGCCATAACGAATTTTAATGATAACAGATACCTCCATGAGAACCATCTATTACAACCACTTTGGTAACAACAAAATTTGGCTGTGCCCCAATGATCTTGGGACTAATGTCAACCACTGTATGGCCTAATACATTGAATAAGCCAATGAGAGGGTAAGCCAAACAAATCCCATTGACTGTGTGGGACCTCTCCCAAATGATAAAACTTCTCCTATCAGAGCAATGCAATCCTAAAGATGTGAGTGTCTTCAGCTCTTGAGCTAGAGCCTGTGTAGATATGGTGGTGGAAGGTGTAGTGAAACAGTAAAATGCAACAACACCACTACCTTTAAGATAAGGAAGTGTCCCAAGGCTGTACAGAGAAGCTTTATAAAACATGGTATGTTACTAAACTGTATAAGGGAATACAAGGACAAATGATCAAAGGGCTCATCAGAGAGAAGTTTCAAGAATCATATTAACAAGGAAATTGAGGTATAGAAGTGGAGAGGTATTGGCAGGGAATTCCAGATCTTGGGGCATAGACATCAGAAAGCATGGCCTTCTGTTAAAGCAGTTGTGATTGGGAACATGAGATACAAATAAATTTAGTACTTGGCGCCACTTCCGCAGAAGAAGATTTGGAGATGCTACTGACCAGGTGGACTGTGGTGATGTACCGGAGAGATTGCAGGCAAGACGCAAAGAAGTGTATGCATGGGAAACTAATATACGTGGAAGAATCCCGTGCAAAAAATAAATGTTCTACCTTCCATAACACTGTTGTGCTTTACTTGAGTATCCTTACCATTCCAAGGGACCAGTCAAGGCATCACACCATGACATTAGCTAACCCAATGTAGAATTTCCAATAAAGTGCAATTGAACTGTAAATGACGCCATACTATAGCAACTAGTAAAGGATTTATTTTGTGGTGCAGGATATCAGATTTCATGATCATATGAAACAAGATTAACATTGAGCTGCAAACTAATACGCAGTGAAATTGAAGTGCAGCTAGATAGACTTCATTGTGTGCTTACATAAACCGTTACAACAAACTGTCCATGCTGTCAAATGATGTAAAAGCAGGCTTCTGACTTTGCTGCTCTGTGGCTTATGTTGGCCATGGTAGTTAACCTTTGCCTCAGGCCTTCAGCTTTGAATGTTTGCATTTATTGGCTCATGAAGTATTAGTGTCACAGCCCTCACAGGAAATGAGGTCCTGCTCTCCATCCTAACTTGTATTATAAAAAACACCAAGATTCTTTGGCCAAATATTCCTCTATTTTTTTCAGGGCATACTTGTCCTTCCCTAAGCATCTTCCCTTGAGGTGCTTGAACACCTGACAATGACTCTTGGCAACTCGTCTTCCCCTCTCATCCAGGCAGCTGGAGGAGGAGGGGATGGCACACAATCGATGTGCATTTCTAACCTGAGCTATGTGGCTGCTGGATGTGGTTCACCATAATGGTCATTGTTTGTCTCATACCATACGCATACATATCAGAAACATGACAATACTCATGGCCGGATGGACTCTTCCCTGATTTGGAGACTCCTCTGAGCATGAATGGATGTGCCTGTTACTTTCCCTGTCAGCTGTTCAGGCATGTCTCTGATGTGCTCACCATATTGTGTGCTCAGAGCTACACATGCACAAAAGCTCACTGACATGGACTACGAGTGCTGGTGAAGAACATGTGTGAATGATGTGGTGCTGCATCCTCTGGGGTCTCCTCTTCCTCAGTGGTGGATGTCTGTCTTACTGTGTTGGCATCTAATCTTTTATTTGATGAGAGAGACACATGAATGCTTTGTCATAATCAGCAGAGCATATGTTGCCATCAACCATTCGGACACTCCCTGGCAGATCCATGTCTGTGAGCAGGTGCCTGCCACCTCTTAAACAAAGCAGTTACTAAGTTGCCCCTTTCTTAAAGTCTTGAGGTGCCCTTGACTTCCAGCTGATTGTTAGTTGTGCTTTAAATGTGATGCCTGTCTGACATGATTTCATAAACCACCTCCCCAGCCCCTGCCACTTGATTGGCGAGCTACCATGCCTGTTGACTATTAATTGAGTGTCTTGGACAACATTACTGATCCACTTGCACTTCTTGCCCATAAGCTCATGCCAACTGCTTTACATCCTGACATCGATATCTTGTCATTGCTGGCAATCTTATGGTCAACTTCTGTTTCTGACTCCATTCCTCTCTATCGTACAGTTGCTCTTTCATTTTCTCTGCTCGACTTCTTCGCACCCAGTTGTATCACCAGACTTATCCCACAACTCTGTCAAATTTGAAACTTATATTTTTTTACTCAAACTTTTTTTTTGATTACACCTTGAGAACACAATGACTAGTTAGGTCATTTTACTGTTATTGAAAAATTCAAGTTTATACTGAGTTTTATTTTCTAAATGACTGAGTTGCTGGATTGATGAGCTCCATGCCAGCCACACTGATGTACAATTTGTAACTAAGACCTCTTCAGACTTGCCACAAAAATATCTGAGGAGGTGCTTTAACCTACAGCAGGTGGAGCTGTGTACTTCACTGTGCTAAGTGTATTCACAGCAAAACGCAGCACACAACTAAAATATTTTGTATATATGGCAGTTAAAGAATAACATTATAGATTTCTTTCCTTTTCAGAGAAACTTTGTGCCTGAATAAAGGGGAAAAAAGTAGACCTTGTTAAGCTGAGATGCTGAGGCACCTCTTTGTTTTGGAAATGGTGTGGACATTGTTTTAGCATTCCCCTGTTTGGCTGTCTTGGAAAGGATGAAATCGGGAATGAATTAGGAGCTTGGAAACTGGAGTAAATCAATGTGGGAGAAAAATTGACACAGTACACAGTAGATTCATGTCAATGAGTCTACTTTCTGTTATGGAGAATGAGAAATTTGACCCCTACTTGTAGTCTGTAA